AATTTCAGAGAGGAAGGGAGAGAGAGAGAGATATAGAAACATCAATGATGAGAGAGAATCATTGATGGGCTGCCTCCTGCACACCCCACACTGGGGTCCGAGCCTGCAACCTGGGCATATGCCCTTGGCCAGATTCGAACTGGGGACCTTTCAGTCCACAGGCCGATGCTCTACCCGCTGAGCCAAACCGGCTAGGGCTCCTCAATGCTTTTGAATTAACTTGGATTTGAGAAGTACACAAAAATAGTTTATATTTTGTTACTTAATTCTACAAAAAATATTCAACTGCTCATTATGTCAAGCATTGAAAAGGAGAAATGTTGACAATATCTAGCAGTCAGTTAAATTAAAAGTTATTTTCACATATCAAGTAAAAGTTAAAAGTTAATGTTACTAAACATAACTTTTAAGAAATTTATTTAATTTCTTTCAGTGTTTTACTTTTGGTGGAAAAATAACAATTTTGGAGGATTTTAATTACATTGCTCTTATATAGTTACATGATTTGCATATGTAGGTTGATACATTATCATTTATCTAAGTAAACACATTACATTAAAAGTTATCCAGCAAATACAGATGTAAAAGTTAAATGTTAATGTTTAACTTTTAATTTTTAAATTTAGCTATTCTTACTGAAGAGTAACCTTGATAGAACTCCTTATGTACAGGACATAAACAGATACGTAGTATATCAGTGGAATTCAAATTCTATGGGGGAGTTATTAGGAAAAAAATGATTTACAGGACTCCTGGGGGTAGGGGTGATACTGAAAAAAAGTTAAAGGAATATGGGGTAGAGTAGACTCAGGTTCCAAAACAGCTCAGACTGGGTAGACCAAAGTGAAAAAAATTATCCTCCTTATCTTCTCTGGAGAGTTAGTTTTTGTTACTTGAAAAATAAACAATGTACTGACACAATAGAAAATTAAAAATACAAAAGGTTATACAGTGAAAACTAAAGCTCTTGCTTTCCCAGCCTCCTCCCCCAGCTAGCCAGTCTGCCTCCCTGGAGGCCACCACCATTTCCTACCTGTTATGTATCCTTCTAGAGAAATTCTCTGCATTTCCAGGCATATCTCTCTCATGATGACATTTAAGGGTGACTAATTTTAGATACTGCACCTTAGTCCAGGGAAAAATCTATGGCACAAGTCCAGAGTAGAGAAAGTCTCAGCAGCAGCACATGTGGGGAAAACTCAGGTTTTAGTTGACAGTAACCTAAATATGAGTCAACTGTGAACTGAATGCCAGAAAAATTAGGCAAGCCCAGGAGATATTTAGTGTCTTGAAGCAACAAACTGCAAACAACAACAGATGTCTTCTATAATCCGTGTCAGCCTCTGTGCTGGGCACTGGGGATCCAGCGATGACTGCTCCAGCCACTGTCCAGGCCCTCGCACAGCCTGTCTTCTGGGGAACAACCGAAGCAATTGAGTCATCTTACCCTGCTCTGAACTGTACAGACCCCCCGGGGGAATCCTGTGTCCTGCTCTGGTCAGCTCCTTTCAATAGAGCGGGACGTTGACCAACTAGAGCTTGTGCCGAGGGGTGTGAGCGGAAGAGTGAGGTAACCTGATGCCATGTCATCTGAGGGAGGGTAGCAGAAATTGGAGGTGTTTATGTATTCTGTAGCCTTAGAGAAGCAAGAGGAGAGGACTTAAGGAGGACATAACAGCTGACTTCAAAGAAATGAGGGATTGTCATGTGCAAGACAGGCTTGAGTTATTCTTTCCGATGCCTCAAGGCGTCAGGTGCTGGCGGGTAGAAGTTAAAGGTATATCATCACATCACTGTTAGAATCCTTGAACTCCTTGAATGATTAGACTGGTCCAAACAAGGAGCAAATGCCTCGGAGGTAACTAGCTTCCTCATCCTGTGAGGGAATGAAGTTGAGACTAGCCAACCTGGGGAGAGAATTCGCAAACTGGGTTTGGGGGTGAACTTTAAGTTCCCATCCAACTTTGAGAATCTGCTTTCAGAGGCTTTTTAGGGAGACCGCTGTGTATGCCAGATTCTGTGGAATTGGCAAATAAAAGTTAGTGCTAAAAAAAGATTTTCTTCGTCCGGAAGGTTCCAGAACTGCAGGTGGACTAAAGTAAATCATTGGATTTCATCATTGGATTTCAATAATATTTGAATATTGGGGTAAAATAAAATCTTTGTTAGTCCTATGCTAATTAGTAAATAGTTATTATAAACAGACTATATTTACCCTAGAGTCTGAGAATTGCAGAATGTTGGGACAATCAGTAGTCGATGAATGGATAAATGACTATCTGAATTAGACATTTTTATATTCCCGAGAAAGTCCTTTAGGAGGTGGCTCAGTTGTGCCTTTCCAGGAAAGCATATTATATGATGGGAAAGCATTGTAGGCTAGACATGGTTTTTGGGATGTTTCCATCCTCAGTTCAGATATTTACGTGAAACCTCTTTCCTGAGGACAAGTTGCTTTTTCTTGAATGGCTGAAAAACAGTTGGGTTGTAAAACATTAGTTATATTAAAATGCGGGCACCATAGTCGAGTGGTCAGAGTGTGGACTTCGGAGCTCATCTCCCAGCTCTGCTAGGGCTCTTGGGTGTTTGCTCTACGGTTATTGATATTACAGTGTGCTAGGCACTGAGGACCTAGCGAGGAACAAGGCAGATAGGGTCTCAGCTTTAAGGGAGTTTATAGTCCAATGCGGTAAATTAATTTCTGTAAACCTCAGTTTCCTTTTTTATAAAATTGAGATAATTCTTACTTCATGAGGTTCTTCTGAGGATTTTAATAAGGTAATGCAAACATATAGGAAGTAATGAACAAAATGGTAAGCGGTTACAGTTAGTAATCCCATGGCCCCTGGCTGGAGAAATTGGGACACACAAGTTACTGAGTGAATATCTTATGTTTTGGTTTTAAAACATCTATTTTTTTAAAAGACTTTTAGCAGTGATTACAATGGACATTTGATTAAGCACTGGGTATGAGTCACACACTGCTCTGAGAACACTACAGGTTTTAACTCATTCCTCTCACCAGTTCAGTGGAGGAGTTCTTATTATTAATCCCATTTTCCAGTTGTAGAAAATGAAGGTTCCGAGTTCTCACACAGGAGCATTTCACTGTTGTGTGTGGTGGAGCTGGGATTAGAACCCTGGCAGTTTCTGGAGCTCAGACTGTCAACCTAACAGGCTATAGAATTGCTTGATGAAAATAGTAAACTAGTTTCCTGATTTTTAATGTTTCTAATAGAAAACCAGAAATGCACATGTTAAGTGATTCCTGGCTTAACTATTTTTTAAATAAATAACACATTTTGATGAGTAAGGCACACGGGAATGTTGCATCACAGTGACTCGACACTTTCAGAGAGACAAGGCTCTCATCTCCTTCATTGTAAACAAGTTTTTTTCATTGGACAAAAGGAGGATAAATCACTCATCATTGCTTTATTATTGTAACATTTTTATTTAATGAGAACATGATTGGGCAAGCAGAGTATAGCATTTCATCTCGCTGTCATGCATTTCATAGTGGGTGAACCACTGGCTTCTCCTAAGATGAAAGCGCAGGCATTTGGGGGAATATTTTTACAAAATAACCTTTACTTGATAGGCATCAGATATGATTGACAGAGGGGGAACGTATGACTTTCAAAGTCCAGGGTGGTTTCGCCATACCATAGAGTAGGACTTAGCATATTCAGATTCATTATCAATACCTCCATTGCAAGAAATTAGAATAATAGAATTGACAACTGGATAGGACCTTTAGTAATCATCTTAATCTGAATCCCTCGTTTTATGGAGAAGGAAAGTGAGAAAGTGAGTCTAGGCAGACTTTCTATTTACTTAGCCTTACTTTTTCTCCATCAAATACATAGATGAGTAGAGCCTTGAAGTCAGACCATGGAGTTATAAGGTTTACCTTGAAGTAAAGTTTGGAAAACTCACCCAAGAGTCTGAATACACAAAATAAAAGAATTGATAACTGTTACCAATATGATTTAAATTCATGCTTTTTTTTAATTGCGTAGGAGTTGTTTTCTTAGGATATTTAATAAAAAAAATTAAAAATCACTTTATTGAGGTATGATAATCATATAAAAGTTCACATAGCCCAGTTGGTGTGGCTCAGTGGTTGAGCCTCGATCCATGAACCAGGAGGTCACGGTTCAGTTCCCAGTCACGGCACAAGCCCAGGTTGCAGGCTCGATCCCAGTAGCGGGTGTGCAGGAGGCAGTCGATCCATGATTCTCTCTCATCATTGATGCTTCTATCTCTCCCTCTCCCTGAAATCAATAAAAACATATTTTTAAAAAAATGCACATAGTTTTACAAACAACTTGAGTGTGGGGAGAAGTATACATCTGTGAGACTATCACCATAATATCAAGGCCATAAACAATATTTAAAATTTTTAAGTTCCACATATTATATGTTCATAATTAGGGGTATTATTTAAAATACTTCTTTGGGGGGATAATCTCTGGATATGCGTGTAATCCATAGCTTATTTTCTCCCCTCACTCCTTACTCCTTTCTCAATAGAATGGGAGCTGACGGACATGGTGGTGTGGGTGACTGGCGCATCCAGTGGTATTGGTGAGGAGCTGGCTTACCAGCTGTCGAAACTAGGAGTTTCTCTGGTGCTCTCTGCCAGGAGAGAGCATGAGCTGGAAAGGGTGAAAAGAAGATGCCTTGGTAAGTAAATCTGAAACAGCAATAAATCAGAATCCAAAATCAAATACAGTTCGGGGAATTTCAGCAGTAAGACTGGGATTTTCCTGGGCAGTATACTCTGGTTCCAAATGCTCCAAGTGTTTTGACCCAAATCCTCTTCCTTTTGGCATCTCTTAATTAGCTGCCCTTGTCTTTTTCTGCCCTTTTTCTGCCCTTTTTCTGCTGCCTTTCTACTTTTTTTTGCATTGCCTCTTGGCATTAGGGAGTGACCACCAATTCTCTCAAATGTTGATGGATTTTTAGAAATCACATAAATGTCTTATATTTTTGACTTAAAGAAGGAATAGTTCTTATGTATGACACACATGTTAAGCACAGAAATTTAATTAGAAAGGATCCTGACACATTCTGCTAAAATGTCAGATATTGAAGTCATATAGGATGATATAAAATTTTTGTTATAAAGGATGAAGTTTAAAAAATGCAACTTGAGACAATATTTTTCATATTGCTATATGTTGCAACAATATTTATTTTTGTTTGTGTTTTAACGTAGTTATGTTCACATTGAAAGCAGCCTTAAGTAAAAAAGTTATAATTTCTCATGGACACTTTGTATCTAAACTGAGATAATTTTGAATTTTCCAGCAGACCATTTTATTGGTCATCTACCTATCATTCTTTAGAAACCTTTCTTTCACTTTGCTGATGGAACTAACCACCCAGAAATGAGTCAGTTGCAAAATCTACTAGGGCCGTTTCAGGACACTGAGTTCAAAGGCCTCTGATGTTTCTGCCCTGGGCCATTTCTTTCTTTGCTTTTGTTGTTTGTTTTGTTTGTTAATCCTCACCTGAGTTTATTTTTTCTATTGATTTTGAAAGTGAAAGCGAGGGAGGGGGGAGGAACATCCATGTGAGAGGCACACATTGATTGGTTGCCTCTCACATGCGCCCTGTCTGGAGCTGGGAAGTGAACCTGCAACCCAGGTATGTGTCCTTGACCAGGAATTGAACCTGTGACCCTTTGGTGTGCAGTCAATGCTCTACCCACTGGGAAAAATCTGCCAGGGCTGGGCCGTTTCTTATGGTAGTTGCTCTTCCACTGTCGAGACCTGCAGTTCCTGTACTGGCAAAAATGAATCATATCAGCATTTCTTAGTTGGATTGAAGCTGATTGTTTTCCTTTTATCTGTCAGACAACTGGTGCAAACTTTTCTCTTTCTTTTAAAATAGTTAATGTTTTACAATTTACTCCTTTGCCCATAAAGCTTTTACATATCTCTCTACTTGCTTGTTTTTTCTTACTGGCACTACTTATTGTATTCCAAGATTAGAGTTCACAAGAAAAATAATTTTTTTGTTGAACAGAAATAGAAAGGGCTATACAGTCCAACATGTTTCCTGGTTGGGAATTCCAGGATTATGTATTTTTCCTTTTGTGCCTCCTGGGATCCTTAGCCTCTGGAAGGAAGCTTTTATGTGTCATGTCACCAGAGGGCTCTGAGCTTCTTCCTGATCTTAAGCATAAACTTTGTTTTTCAATGTGTGTAAAAGAGCAACTAACTTTGTGAACTTTTCATAAAACAAAAGTGCCTCTGTACTTTAAAGAAATTGCTCCCAAAATGTTTCTAAAATATATTTTTATTGATTTCAGAAAGGAAGGGAGAGGGAGAGATAGAAACATCAGTGATGAGAGAGAATCACTGATTGGCTGCCTCCTGCACACCCTCTCCTGGGGATCGAGGCCAAAACCCAGGCATGTGCTCTGACCTGGAATTGAACCATCACCTCCTGGTTCATAGGTCAACACTCAACTGCTGAGCCACATGGACCTGGCCCTCGCAATTTTTATTTTTATTTTTAGCATGTAGTACTGTCTTGACTTCTTCTAGAGTCTGTTCCAACATTAGACTGTTTATATACAAGTTGAGGAGAGCTATTCTATTTCCTGTGTACCCAGCTAGCTTTTATCCGATAAGATGTTGCCACATTACCACCAGTCCTCTTCTTGATCACTGAGAAACTCTTCCGCATAACCACTCAGAAATGAGTTTGTTGCCAAGTCTGGTTGTAGGATGGGTGTTAATGCAAGTAGCAAAGAGCTTGATTGAACTGTTGCATGACTTCCACGCTAATTTTGTGTCTTTATTTAGAGAATGGCAATTTAAAAGGAAAAGACATACTTGTTTTGCCCTTTGACCTGGCTGACATAAGTTCACATGAAGTGGCGACCAAAGCGGTTCTGCAGGAGTTTGGTAAAGTAAGTAGCATTTTGAATTGACATGTTTTGCTTTGAAGTAGCTGCAAAGAGATTCCCATTTGTGGTGCTCTCATTAAAAGGGCTTTAGGCAAATGGGTCCATGCAGTGAGATCAAGGCCCATGAGTTGGGCTTTTTAATCTCTGAGTTGTTGGCTTTGTGAAATTAGTACTTTTCATACCTTAACAAGTATTAACTCCTCTTTGTAGAACAAAAGAAGCTAAAAATTCAGTGCCTTTTATTTATTTTTTATTTTTAATTTTTAAAAAATATATTTTATTGATTTTTTACAGAGAGGGAGAGGGGTAGAGAGTTAGAAACATCCATGAGAGAGAAACATCGATCAGCTGCCTCCTGCACACGCCCTGCTGGGGATGTGTCTGCAACCAAGGTACATGCCCTTGACCAGGATTGAACCTGGGACTCTTCAGTCCACAGGCCAATGCTCTAGCCACTGAGCCAAACTGGTCAGGGTGCCTTTTATTTTTATGACACTACTTTCCATTAAAGAATCACCTAAAATAGAAATTTAATTCCATGGATGAATTCTAATTTTTATTTTATATTTTTATTACTGACTCTGAAAATACACCAGTCTTTTCCAATGATTCTTCAAGTTATCAATCTAAGTAACCACCCCTAGGGATTCCATCAATCCATCGACAGGTCATCACCAAAGTGCCTCTTTTCTAATTGTATTGTCTAGATCGACATTCTGGTCAACAATGGTGGAAGATCCCAGCGTTCTCTGTGTGTGGAAGCCAGCATGGACGTCTACAAGGAGCTGATAGAGCTTAACTACTTAGGAACCGTGTCCTTGACAAAGTGTGTTCTGCCTCACATGATCGAGAGGAAGCAAGGAAAGATTGTAACTGTGAATAGCATCATGGGTATCATGGCTGCGCCCCTTTCCAGTGGATATTGTGCAAGCAAACATGCTCTTCGGGTAAGTCTGCTCAAACAAACTTTGATAGAACTGACCTGAATGTACATGGGGGGATATGGCCATCACTATAAGAGGTCATTGGAACTGTGCAGTGATGTGGAGAGACAGAGAGAACCGCAAGGAGACCTTTGATAGATGACATTCCCAGAAGATGCTAAAAAAGACTTGAGCCTCACATGCCTCTTTGTAATTCAACAAACATGTATTGAGTACCTACATTGTGTCATACACTGCCAACAGATCCTGGGAATATAAAGATGAGATATGGTCCCTGCCCTCAAGAATTATAGTCTAGTCAATATGTCACCCTCCCCTTCTCCTCATTTCTACCATATCTTCTTGGCAAATTTGGGGTCTACCCCTCACTTCTTCACATACTTCAGGATGTAGTTTTCCTCCCCATTTCTGTGACTTATTTTTCCTTTCCCCTTTTAGGTGGGGTTTATCTTACCTGGTCTAAATATATATATAAGCATGTCAGAAATAGGAACTACCCACTAGATGTTTAGCCTTGATCTTCATATCCCTTGCTGGGTTTAGCTTTGACTCAATTTACCCTGGGTGCATTGGAAGAAGAAAATCTAGTCAAGGCAGAGGCTAGGAGAAAAGCTTGGTTTGGTTTGCTTAACTTATGAGATGTGAATATTAGAAACGTATGAATTTTTAATGTTGGCTAAGAGTGGATATGAAGAAATGTTATTAAACTGCAACATGGAACAAATTAGATCATAAGGCCAAGAGGAGAAGAATGATTAAAGGAGACACACAATTTATAATTAATGCTGTTGAAGGTCAGTTTACATAGAATGTTTCACTGTTGGAATAATGAGATGAATAGCTGACTGATCATTAGCTTCATGAAAATTTGAAGCTTTAGTTCCTTAGGACGTCCTTTCTGTTGTGAAAAGTAGACAGTTGAAGAGAGTGATGAAATGGAAAGCTACACTGATGATTTCCTCATATCTGGCACTATAAGGTATCAGTCACTTCCTGCAGAGCAGTTGGGCAAGTCTCGGGCTGGTAGATGAGGGAAAGAAGCTACACCATCTGTTTGGCACCAAGTATCTCATAAGACATGCAGGATGTTTTCAGTCAGATAATATGAGGTGTTTGGCCTGCCCTCCAAGACTCACTGTTTTGTTACTGGATTTGATGCTCTGATACCATGTGGCAGATTGAGACTAGTTGCTTATACCAGTAGCTGAACTCTGAAACCAGAAGGCTCTTTGAAGAGCACGTCTCCTTCCCCGATGCCCAGCAAGCTGTAGAGTGAACTTGTTTATCAATGAAACGTTCACACGCTATACTAGATGTGATTTCAAACAAAGAGAGGTGCTGATGTTTGATGTGTTGGCTCTCATGGTGTCTGTCCTCTCTCCTCTTTGCTAAAGTGGGGCGGAAAGCTAAGGGTTTGGGAGTTCACTTAGCCTTTTTCCCTGTCCATCTGAGTTAGGCACTGTGTGTGTCTCTGACAGCATGGATCCTCACAGGCCCTATTTGTTAGAGGTCAGCATTAAGGGCTGGTAAAACTAATGTTGTTGGATCACAGGGTTAGCTGTTTAGGCTTTTCAGTAGTTAACTCAGCTTCTAGTCTTGGACCATTTCCTAAATTAGGAAAAGAGGTTAGGGAAAGATGTTTACTCCCTATTTGGGTTAGAAATGGCCAGTATCTTTAAGTCTAGAGCAGTGGTTCTCAACCTTCTGGCCCTTTAAATACAGTTCATGTTGTGACCCAACCATAAAATTACTTTTGTTGCTAGTTCCTAACTGTAATGTTGCTACTGTTATGAATCGTAATGTAAATATCTGATATGCAGGATGCTCTTAGGCGACCCCTGTGAAAGGGTTGTTCGACTGCCAAAGGGGTCGCGACCCACAGGTTGAGAACCGCTGGTCTAGAGGGTCTTTACCACCCAGAAAAGATGGATGTTGGCTGAAACTAATTGTCTGTTAAACTAGTAATAAATAGAAAAAGTTGAATTTTTCCTTGAGAGTTTGTTAAGTACTAATCCCTCTCACTCCCTCTTGCCCCAATATGGGCACCTTAAACCACCTTGAGGGATAAAAAGAAACCAAATCTGAGTGATTTTCAGTGGAAAACATGCACCCCTTTTGGAGTGGGGACATGGGGACTGGTCTCAGGAGGGTGTATCAGAATCTCCAGGGGGCAGTTTTTCACCTATCCAGTGCTTGCCTACCCTAAAAATCATGATCCACCACTTCCAAACAGGTGAGCCACTCATACCCGGAAAGAGCTGAGAATGCTATTCTTGATTGCCTCAAGTCTTAAGGTTAAAAATGGCTAATAAGATTGCACAATTACATTTCCTGTGCTTTATTCAGGCATTTCAGAACATATTTTATAATGTGCTACTTATTGTCCTTCATAGTCAAAGACAAGTAATTTCATGAGATGTGTCTGTATTTATTTTATATGCTTTATTTTATATTAGGGCTTTTTTAATGGCCTCCGAACCGAACTTGCCACGTACCCAGGTATAGTAGTTTCTAACATTTACCCAGGACCAGTGCAATCAAATATTGTGAAGAACTCCCTACGTAATGATACCACACAGGTAAACTTTTCTCGTTGGGGTGTAATTTGAATGGTTTCATAGTCATATGTAGGTTTTGTACCACTGTGCCTCAGGTTTTCATGTTAGAACGGCTTATGACTTATTTATACACCTTAACTCATAGCATTAGGAAAATTGTTAAGGTTAGCTGATAGTGTTTTAGCAGCCAGTTTTAATAAAGGTTAAAGAAATTGCTGAGATAGTACTGGTAAGTGACCCACTATTATGTGATTTAAAAAAACCCAGTTTCTATAAATTCATAAATTATAGCAACACTGAGAGGTTCTGTGTGGCTGAATTTCAGTATATTAACCTGACTGGGCTTTTAAAGAGGAATCCCAGTGAAGGAGCTTAGAAAAACACTTTTGATAATTTTATTTTAGCCTCACCCAAGTCTGTGTTTTCCTCAGCTCAGATTACACATCACAAAGTGATTTATCAAATGAATAGCACACGTCTCACGAAGAATCCAGTGTCACTCAATAATACCAAAATCCCTCTAAAAACCATGACATTTTCCTTCTTCATTAAGATCTATTTCTACTGAGACATAAGTCTGTATATGCTTCTATGTAAATGTTAACAGATATAATTTTTATTTTCACATTTTTTGTGGAGGCTCTAAGGTAAAATAGAATAATCACCCAATTATAGGAATCAAGGGACTTGGCATGTAGACCTGGTTATTGTAATGATCTGTGTGAGCACGGATGAATTGCTACCTTTCTGGGCCTCAGTTTGTTTATTGATAGAATGGTAGTGGGTTAACTAGATGAGCAGTGCCAGATTTGTTCACTACCAAGAAACCACTTTGAACTTTTTGCTCTGTTTTACCCCCATGGACTCTATGTTTTATAGACTTCCATTTGTTAAATGTATGTGTTAATTTGCTTAAAGATTTTTATTACTAAAGTGATATGTAATTATCATTAAGTACATTAAGATGGTACAATTGTAATTAAAAGCCAAGAACCTTCATCTTTTAGTTAGCCTGTACAATCTTATCTGGTAAGTGTGTGTTTCCTGTTAGGCTTTTGGGAATATTATAGACACCTATTAGTATCCACTGGGGTCTGAAGAGGTATGAGGTCACATTAAAAAGTCAACTAGATGACTTCTGGGTCCTTTCTAGCTTAAAAGTTCTGTGAAATCCTTGGATGAATACTCACCATTCACTTAATTTTTAAAATATTTCTTAGGCTATGCATAGTGATGCAGACCAGTCCTACAAGATGGCAACCAGTCGGTGCGTGCGGCTGATATTAATCTGCATGGCCAATGACTTGAAAGAAGTTTGGATTTCGGATCAACCTTTTTTGGCAATGGCGTATTTGTGGCAGTATATGCCAACCTGGGCCTTGTGGGTAACAAACAAATTAGGGAAGAAAAGGATTGAGAACTTTAAGAAGGGTCTGGTAAGAACAATTTATAAATTTCTTAATACATATCAATCTTTAGGAAAGTATGAAATTTTCTAGTGCTTAAAAACTTTTCTTACTAACTCTGCACTAATCTCATGATATCAATACAAAAGATACTAGATGTATTCTATGCCCCATGCATATCTGTTGGTTTATTATAAATTACTACTGGTCTTGGAGAAAAAAGTTTTCTACAAGGTTAAAATCAAATCAGAGATTGCCATTTTTGCTTCTACACTCATTGTTTGACCAGTGTATGTGCCAAACACGCTTTCTCCTCACAAACTCTTACTCATCCTATAAGTCTCAGCTCTGGTGTCCCCTCCATGGGTTGATATCTGGCCCCCCCTCTTATTTCTCCCCACGACCACGTGAACTTTGCCCAGTGCTTACCAGTTACTGTGCTGTTAAAACTGATGCACTCTCGCTGGGTAGTGCTGGTTCTTTTGACTTGATCCAGAAGCACTCTGCACATCTGAGCTGTGCCTATGTCCACGTCTAAGAAAATAAGCTGATCACTCATTCTTTCAACAGTCATTCTTTTAGAAAAGTGCGGAATATTATGAACTGCTTCTGAGAAAATTGTGACCATCAAAAGGGTTTAATATATAAACAGCACAGGAAATGTAAGGAGTTACGCCAAAAATTATAGATATGATTACACAAAGAAAGGTTATTTCTGTGGATGGTTTTGTTTTTTTTGTTTTCTTAAAATATATTTTATTGGTTTTTTACAGAGAGGAAGGGAGAGGGATAGAGAGTTAGAAACATCAATGAGAGAGAAACATTGATCAGCTGCCTCCTGCACACCCCGTACTGGGGATGTGCCCACAACCAAGGTACATGCCCTTGACCAGAATCGAACCTGGGACCCTTCAGTCCTCAGGCCGATGCTCTATCCATTGAGCCAAACTGGTCAGGGCAGGATGGTTTTATTGTTGAAGTATGTCTTTCAGTGATACTACTTTTTTAAAGAAAGAATTTAGTAGGGATTGATATATAAAGAGAATTCTAAAATGGGATCATACCATATGTATCATTATATAACCTACCACTATTTAAGCAATCCATGAATTGCCATACATTTATTTTACTTCAACTTTTTGCAGGATAGTAAAAATGAATTAGTAAAAAAAAGCAAAAATGCTTTAAAAAATGCTTAAAAAGACTTAAAGGTTATAAAACTTCCATACTGCACTAACCTCTCCGGAGCTTTTGAAAAACCATAAAGGTGAGGGGGGTGGGGGAAGGAGTTACACATTTTCTACCAACTTGTACTATGGACCAGTTTTCTTTGGGCCACATCATTTATAAGTATTTTGGTAATGTTGGGGCTTGGTGGTGTAAGATGGGTCTAAAGGTAGAGCTTCATCAAAGATAACATCTAAGTTTTATGGAGTACAGCTGATAGAGTGGTACTGTGCCCACTGATGGATAAGAATCCAGAGGGAAAGGCTATCTTACTAGAGGTGACGGCATCCTGGTGCCAGGCTACCCTACTGTCCCAAGATCTCGGGCAAGTTACTTCTCTGTTAATCAATGTCCCCATCTACAAAACGAGATTACTGATGACAGTAGCATCTAGTCATAGGATTGTCATTGAGATTGAATGAGTTAGTATGTGGAAAACTCTTAAAACACACGTGGAGTGTTATACTTACTAAGGATTAGCTGTTAATGCTTTCATTTTGATGGTACAGGGATACTGAGCTAATAGATAGTGAAGATCAAAGAGTTAAATAAGAGGCCAGAGAGATAATACGTTATAGAAATAGTTGTTTCAGAGGGAAAAGAAGGACCAGGGGCTAGAGTTTCAGTCCTACTGTAGCAGATGTTATGTTGTTTTATTTACACAATATCTAACTATAAATATAAACATCACTCAGTATATGTAGCATTTGATTACATCTAACCTTTGCTAACAGTAATGGCCTTTCTCTTCCTACCACTGTCTTTAATATATTGTTTATTACATGGTCTTATTGCTTTATTACTTTTTAAGGATAAACTGGACATCATTTTGTTTCCCAGTACCATTTCTGAGATATCATACCTCATTCTTTACACAAAACCATGAGAACTAAAAAATTGTTTCTCACTTTTTTCCTCAATTCTCTCCTCCCTGCTTCTTTCCTCCACATTATTTTCTATTACATATATCCATCTCCTTATTTTGATTTGTTTATAAGTATCTAAGTTAAGAGAATGCTAATATAGCTTTATTCCAAATTAAATGGAGTTGGCAGTAGTACTTGAATTTGTTTCTGTCCTTGAGGCTAGGAACACTATGTCTGTAACTTTGATGAATTTTTATTATTTTAAGAAATCAAGAACAATAGCTGCATTGAATTTTGTGTTTTATTTTTTGTCTTAGTGCAAGTTCTTGGAAGTGGTAAATGCGTATCTTCCCAAATGAAATGTTACATCCTTAGGGATGAATGAGTTGCTTTGTTTTCTATTTTAAGCAATATAACTAAAAGTTCACAAAACATTTTAGAGTCATCTCTCAAATATTTCTATTCTAAATATTCTGATTCTTTGTAATTATTAAGACAAGTCAGTATAGATATGCTACTCTAGAGGAGTAATAATAGAGATTTCACAAAATGGCATGAGCAGATGCTTACCAGTGATAGAGGAGATAATGATGCTAAGTCCATTTTCTAGATCTAGAATTTTAGCTATGATTTTTATTCTAATTTAAGCATTTGCTCAGGTTTTATAAGGATTCTCAACAGTGAATCATAACTATAGAGCTCCTTAAAACAGAAGGAATTGTCAAAAACGGGGGTAAATTCAAGGTGGCACTGACTCATGTTGCTGTCACTTTGTTTCAGGATGCAGATGCTTCTTATTTTAAAATCTGGAAGACAAAACATGACTGACAGAGTACTTGCATTTTCAAGCCACTGGAGGGAGAAATGGAAACCATGAAAACAGCCATTTTCTTGTGCACAGAAGACTAACTTGTGATTTTACTTCTTAATACATACAACTTCCCTTCCAACATGTAATAAACAACAAATAAAAGATTATTATGACACTTGCAATAAAGATGGTAATACGTACTACATTCTTGGATAAGAGAGCATTTTAACATACTCTGGCATTTATGCTTAAAATCTAGGTTAGTGGAATGCTAATCAAAGAATTATAGAAGTCCATTAATGTAAATGTAGGGACTATTTCATGAAGCTGAGTGCTAGGTAATGAGCATATGTGAAGAAATACCTAAATGGTCCTGCCACCAAGGTGCTTACACTCTCTTAGAAGAATTGACATGAAGTAGACTCCTAGCAGCCATGATTTATTAAACACCTGTTATATGCTATTTGCTGTACGGGGTGCTTTTTAAAAAATATATTTTTATTGATTTCAGAGAAGGAGAGGTATAGAAACATCAATGATAAGAGAGGATCATGGATCAGATGCCTCCTGCACACCCCCTTCTGGGGATCAAGCCCACAACCCGGCATGTGCCCTTGACCAGAATCGAACCCGGGACTCTTAAGTCTGCAGGCCGACGCTCCACCCACTGAGCCAAACGGGCCAGGGCTGAGATGCTTTGTATTAATTCATTTATTCCTCATGAAAGTACTCTAAAGTAGGTGGTATTATCTTCCTTTGTAGAGGAAGAAAGAACATGCCCAAAGCAAGTTGGTATTACTTTCCCAAGGTCCCAGGGCTAGTAAGGGGTAAAGTCAAGATTAAACTCCAGGAAGAATCCATTGGTAACCCCTTACTCTATAATTAATTTTACTTTAATCTTTAGCACCTTACAGTAGATAACATGCATAGGCCACAATAGAAAATCAACAAATATTCCTTAACTATCTACTGTCAAAAGGGGGGTGTAACAGGAGAAAATCATAGTTCTTCTTTATAAGCAGTTCACAGTTTAGCTATAGCCAAGGTAACATACATAACGTAACTGTAGAATAGTTGTTGAGGAAGTTTGAGGCCACCCTGGTGGCTATCCTTGGGAAAGGGGGACGATAGAGGTACACCATGGGGTACAGCAAGGAAAAGCAATGGAATAAATGGACACAGCAACATGGATATGTCCTAAAACATGGTGATGAGTGAAGAAAGAACACAAGTATGTTTATACACAAATTGATGTGCATAGAAGGTAGTGCTCATTTTGCAAGAAAACATACAAAGAAAAGATAAACATTAGATGTATTACAATGATTGCTTAGGATGGGGAGAGGAATGGGGGGTGTAGTATGGGGATAAAATGTAATAAACGTGATGGAAATTATGATTAATAAATCAACACTGCATCTGGGGTAAAAACAAAAATACAGATTGTGGAACAATTCTAGAATGGTACAAAATAACGTGTGGCATGGTACAGGCTATAGTGCAAAGTTCAGAAAAGGGAGAAATGTGTGGATAGATTAGTGTGGAAACTACACAGAAGGTGTGACTTGCACTAAGCCTTTCAAGGGTGGCATTTATACCAAAAGAGGCTTTAGGTGGTAGGGGTCCAGGGCAGTTTTGTTTTACTTGTCATTGAATCTTCAGTGCTTGGCATTGTACTTGCCAACGTTTTGCAGCGGTTCTCAACCTGTGGGTCGAGACCCCTTTGGCGGTCGAACGACCCTTTCACAGGGGTCACCTAAGACCATTCTGCATATCAGATATTTACATTATGATTCATAACAGTAGCAACATTACAGTTATGAAGTAGCAACGAAAATAATTTTATGGTTGGGTCACAACATGAGGAACTGTATTTAAAGGGCCAGAAGGTTGAGAACCACTGGTAGGGCTTGTTGAGCTTCTGTAAGTCAGGCATTCTTTGCCTCCAGAATGTCATGAATGAAAACTCAGAGACTGAAATTAGCATAATACAGGGATCAAGGAAAAGGGAATTCAGTGTGCTTAATTACACCAGCCAATGAGTGGTAGAAGATGTATTAATAATTTAAATGATTTTTAGAAACTCATCCGTATAGTGTTTTTCTATAGCATGTAATTAATACCTATATGTAATCCACCCTCCCCCCTGCCCCCCCAATCCTCAGGCTCTTGTCAGCAGCCCGAGACAGAAAGGCAGATTTTTGTCAAAGTACATTTTCTCAAATATAGTCAAGAACTGTGAACCCAAGTGTTTCCATATTGACTTTTTAAAAGTTTATTATTTTGCACTGACATTTCATTTCTTAATTATTATCTCCAATGGGTTCTTAAACTTGATGAATATATTTTTCAGTTTGAGACTTGCCAATTCTTCTGTATAGTGTCTAATTCTCTGCTGAAACTTTCAATCTTGTGTTTTATATCTTTAAACGTACCAAGCGTAATAACTTAAGCCTGTGCTTAAAAACTTCACTAACTGGATGCCCTGTATGTTCATATTCACTATCATTTTTCTTGGGTTTTGATCATGTTGTCTTGTCTCCTCAAGTGCTTTATTTTAGATCGTCTAGTACTAAATTTGAAAAATTATGAAAATAACTTGAAAAGTCAGTTGAGAGAAGAATTATATTTGCTCTGTGTAGTGGGTAGGTACACTAGGCACCCAGGGTTACCTTAATCCAGTTTAGGAATTGCGAATATTCAAACTGCATCTATTTTTTGTTCACCCTTAAAATTAGGATGTAGTCTTTGAGGTCCCAATCCTATGGGTGGTCAGTTACTCAAGTCCTCCCTTCCTATGAGAGCTCTGGACTCCAATTTTTATCCCTCTAACTACACAGCAAGGCTATAAAAGTGTTTAACTTCTCAGGTTCTCAACCACTTCCTCCTGAACTGCAAATGCTCCTAGAAGAGAAGCAGCCCAAATGCTGAACTCAGGTCTAAGTTTCATTTTGCCTTGGATCTTGTTGATGTAATTCTTCATTATCTTCTTGGTCCCCTGATACCTTTAAGTTTAGTTTAAAATATTATTTTGCCCAGCTTTACTAGTTGTTCTCTGTGAGATGGCTGCTGTGGATTACCTAGACCAGCTGTGGGCAAACTAAAAAAAAAAAGACCGTACCCTTTTATGTAATGATGTTTACTTTGAATTTATATTAGTTCACACAAACACTCCATCTATGCTTTTGTTCCGGCCCTCCAGTCCAGTTTAAGAACCCATTGTGGCCCTCGAGTCAAAAAGTTTGCCCACCCCTGACCTAGACACTACTAAAAGTAGAAGTCAGAAAATCAGGTTTTTGGGAAAATTCAATAAGGTCACTTTTGAATACATCAGATAGAGAAAACTAACTTATAAGTGCAAAGAAAAGAGGTTGATTTTACATACATATAGGGTGGGGCAGAAGTAGTTTTACAGTTCGTATGTAAAATCCTATATAATAAAAGTCTAATATGCTAAGTGTCCAGTCAGCCAGTCGGCCGTTCAACCAATCAAAGCATAATATGCTAATGATATGCTAAGGCTACTCAACCACTCGCTATGATGTGCACTGACCACCAGGGGAAAGTCAGTTGACTGGTCCAACAGTCACTATGATGTGCACTGACCACCAGGGGGCAGATGCTCTGACGGGTAGGTTAGCTTGCTGCTGGGGTCCAGCAGATCAGGACTGAGACAGGCTGGACATGCCCTGGAGCCCTGCCGTGGTCCCTCCCTGGCTGGCCAACCTCCCCTGCCCCCGCATAGTGCACCCGTGGGGTCCCTCGGCCTGGCCTGAGCCCTCTTGCAATCAGGGACCGCTTGGGGGATGTCTAAAAGCCAATTTTGGCCCGATCCTGCAGGTCAGGCCAAGTGACCCCACTGGTGCATGGATTCGTGCACCGGGCCTCTAGTAATACAATTAATTAATAACAAGTATTAACTCTTTCATGTACTCAAAACTGTAAACCCACTTTTGCCCCACTTTGTATATTTGAACATCCTCAATTTATTGATATTTTAAATCTTGGGAGTGGATTACATGGTTTATGATGAGTATAGAATCAGAAGAGGGGGCCTGGAGCCAATTGGTGAAAAGTTCCAAAATTTAGAGGTCAGGTAGAAAAGGAAAAGCAGCAAAGGAGACTGAGGAGTAGCCATAGAGATAGGAAGAAAATGAAGGTAATGTGGTATCAGGGAGGTCCCAAAAGAAAAAATAAAGGTGATTCAAGGAGTACTCAAATGTATCAAAAGCTACTTGAAGGACAAATAAGACGAGAACAAAAGGTGACTAGTTGATTTGACAATTTGAAACTAAATAGGGACCTTAATTAAAACTTTCTTTGGGGAAACAGTAGAATGGAATCCAGACTGGAATGGTTTAACAAGTGGAAGATGAGGAAACTTTGCCATGAACGAGAGAGAGAGGCATGGGAGCAGTTTGAGGAGGATGCGAGGTGAAGGAAAAGCATGGCTTGTCATTATGATAATAGTGAAAATCTTTAAACAACTTAAAATGTCCATTACTTAAGCGATTGCTAAATCTATCAATGTTAAACAGTCATTAAAACAGATAATCACAGGGAGTGTTTTTTAATTGATTTTAGAGAGAGGAAGGGAGAGAGAAAAAAAGAGAGAGAACATCAATGTGGGGAACATTGATTGGTTGCCAGGGATCAAACCTACAACCTGGGTATGCGCCCTGACCAAAAATCAAACCTACCACCTTCTTTGGTGTATGGGATGACCCTCCAACCAACTAAGCCACACTGGCCAGGGCAGAGAGTATTTTTGAGAGAATTTTTATAGGTGACAAAAAATACATAAAACTGTCCAGCTAGTAAATCTCAATTATGTAAATCGTAAGACTGACCTCTGAACTCAGATGTAAGTAACATCAAGCCCTGTTTTCTTAACAACCATGCTGTTTCCCCAAAATTGACTAACATACAAACTGCATGAATTCATTAAGTAAAAATTAGTCCAAAAAGTTATCCTTTAACATTGCTGGATTGAATTGTTCCACATACTAAATAAATGGAATAATAATAAAAAAATCTAATCACTACATTTCAAATAATTCCAATCATTTCTAAAGAGAATGTGCTACTGTATTACGAACCGAGGAGGCTACAATAGATTTAGTTGGAAATAAAGTAATGAGTACAGGAAATTAATGTCTCAAGTGATGCAGATTCATTGTTCCTCCTTGTTATATGTACCTGTAAAAAGTTTGTAAACAGCTAGAAAATGAAAATAAACTCCTGCTCACATTATGAAAATTTTTCTCCCATCTCTTTTTGCCTTTAGCTCAGACACCCTAAAACACTAGTAACTGGTAGTCCTATTGGGTAAGTCATGCCTCAGAAACAGTATATTCAGTTGAAAAGAAATGCATAAGGATTTAGATCAGCGGTTCTCAACCTGTGGGTTGCGACCCCTTTGGGGGTCGAACGACCCTTTCACAGGGGTCGCCTAAGACCATCGGAAAACACATATATAATTACATATTGTTTTTGTGATTAATCACTATGCTTTAATTATGTTCAGTTTGTAACAATGAAATTGGGGGTCACCACAACATGAGAAACTGTATTAAAGGGTCGCGGCATTAGGAAGGTTGAGAACCACTGATCTAGATCTATAGAATGGCCTCTAGCAATCATGGATTATCCTAATATTGCTAATCCTGTGAGCATTAAATGATAAGTGGGATAAATTCCTTTCCTTTCACATGCATAAAAAGGATACTTGGAAGAAAAATATTTTATTAAAAATTTTTAAGGTTTCTGAATTGAAGTATATGAAAAGAAAATAATTATATGAAAACATTTAGTCATTCAGACCATGTTAAATATTAAAATAAAACAGCACAAAGTTTGAAAATACTATAAAATTTAATTGCATTTCAAATAAATAAATATATATATACATTATGTAACTTGTAATAGCACCGTTATCATTACTTAAAAACACTGATAGGAATATCTTTTTAAGTATGTAAAAATTACATAGTTGTTGACTTTTCTAAGTCAAGTCACCTATCCCACATTTAAGAAAGCATTAAAAAGTCATTTTCTAATTTTATACAAATGCTTCATATTTAACAAAGCCTACCACAATCCATAGGGCACAAATATTGGCCAATAGTTCTAACTTTTATGCTAGACAAAGTTCTTCCCCCCCACCCCCCCAAGATAGCTAAGAGAATCAACTAATAGAGCTTAGCTTTTCCCAGGCATCTGACTTTTGGGAAGAGAGAGGGAAGGTCGGTGAAGTTTGCAAAACCACCCAGTTACTCTTCTAGAATGAAAAAATAAAGACATCCCATTTGATGACAATACAAGTCAAAATAAGTTCTAATACAAATGTATATGGAGAGGTTTTGAAGAATAAATTGGATATCCCAGGGGAGGGTCAGCCGCTTGTACTGTAAGGTTTCTTAAAAATAGTGGATGAGCTTGTATACTATAACGTTCCTCGTCATCATTTGTGGCATAAAGCAATTCCCAAGAAAGATTGGCCCACTGACCTCTAACAGCTTCAGCATTTAACTTCCCAACTTGGATCAATAATTCTTGAAGGGTAAGTACTCTCCCAGTGTAAACTCCCTTTAAAGTACAAATCGGGTGGGGGGGAGAAAAAAAAAGAGATTATATTTAGGCCTTTATATTTTACTTATAAACCTAGAAAAAAATTCCATCGTTTGAGGCAAACATAGAAAGTGGTGTATTAAAATGTACACATGAGTTGCTTGTCTTCAGAATTGAGTCACCTCTATTAGGTAATTCTATGGATAAGTATGCGAGAAAAGATTCCCTGACAGCCATTTCACTCCATGAACAGAACAGCAAAATCTCACTACTTCTATTTCCTTCTCTATTCCTTCATCAGATCTGGCCTCAGCAATGCATAAGTCATAAATACTAATCAGTGGAAATCACACAATAGGCTCTTTTTTTTTAAAAAAAAAAAAGCTCCACTAAGATATAATTCACACTCCATACAATTTACTTATATAAAGTGTACAATTCAACCGTTTATTTAGTATATTCAGATATATAAAACTATCATCAGTCAATTTTAGACCATTTTCACGACCTCAAAAAGAAACCATTTACTCTAGCTATTACCCTCCCATCCCTTCATTCCCCCAGTCCTAAGAACCATTACAGTACTTTCTAACTCCATAAATTTGCCTATTCTGGAAATTTCAAATGAATAATATGTAGTCTTTGTGACTGAAGTCTTTAACTTCACATGTTTTCAAGATTCATTCATGTTGAGCATATAACAGTATTTCATTCCTTTTTTATGATCAAATAATATTCCACTGCGTGGGTATACCACAATTTGTGTATTCATAAGTGATGAACAGCTGGGTTATTTCCACCTTTGGCAATTATGAATAACACTGCTGCCAACATTCTTGTACAAGTTTTTATTTGTATCTATGTTTTCATTTCTCTTGGGGATACACCTAACAGTGAAAAACTAGGTCAGATGGTAATTCTATGTTTAATCATTTGAAAGCTGTCAGGTTTCTCAAAGTGGTTGCCCCATTTTACATTTCCACCAGCACTGTATTAGAGTTCCAATTTTTCCACATCCTTGACAACATTTATCTGATTTTTTTCATTTTAGTCATCCTAGTATGTATGAAGTGATGTTCACTGTGGTTATTTGCATTTCCCTGATGACAAACCCATGAGCATGGACTATCTTTCCATTTATTTGTGTCTTCTTCAAATTATTTCATCAATGTCTTAAGAGTTTTCAGTGTACAAGTCTTTCACCTCCTTGATTAAATTTATTCTTAAGTATTTTATTCTTTGTGATGCAACTGTAAATGAGATGTTTTCTTAATTTCTCTTTATGACAGTTCACTAGTGTATAGAAATGAAGCAATTTTTATATATTAACTAGAGGCCCGTTGCAGGAAGATTCCTGCAATAGGGCTTGGCTCCCACCTCTGCCGCCTCGGCTCCCTCCCGCCTCCCGCCTCCTGCCTCCGCTGCCTTGGCTCTGTTCCTGTCTCCGCCGCCTCTACTTTGCTCCCTTCTGCAGCGCTTGGGTTCCTTCTACGTTGTCTTCAGTCTCTGCTCCCAGCTGGTATATGCAAATTGACCACCATCTTGGTTGGGTTAATTTGCATATAGTCGCTCTGATTGGCTGGTGGGCATAGCGAAGGTATGGTTAATTAGCATCTTTGTCTTTTATTAGTGTAGATTTTGTATACTGCAACTTTAATGAATTACTTTGGTGGAGTCCTTAGGGTTTTCTGCTTATAATATCATATCATCTACAGCTGGTACCAGTTTTACTTCTTTTCTGATTTTAATGACTTTTCTTTTTCTTACTTAATTGCTCTATCTAAGACGTCCAATACCGTGTTGAGTAAGTGGCAAGAATAGGGATCTTTGTCTTGTTACTAATCTTAAGATCAGCTTTTCACTATTGAGTATGGTATTAGCTATGGGCTTGTGATATAAAGCCTTAACTATACTGAGGTATGTTCCTTCTATACCCATTTTGTTGCGTACTTTGTTGACTTTTTTAACACATGGTTTTCTTTAGTCCTTTGAACATATTTATGTCTACTTTGAAATCTTTGTTAATCTGATATCTGGTTGATCTCATAGGCAATTTCTGTTGTCTTTTTTTTTTTTTTAACCTGGTATATGGATCAGACTTTCCTGTTTCTTTTCATGCCTCATAATTTTTGTTGAAAACTGGACATTTCAGATAACACTGTAGCAATTCTGAGTACTAATGCTCTCCTCCCCCTACTGCATGGCTTGCTATTATTATTTGCTTATTAGTTTAGTGAGGTTTTGGATAACTTTAGTGAAGTTAATCCCTACCTCCACGCCTACTGTGAAATCTTTGATGTTGCTCCTTGGGTAGTGCAGCCTTGTGAATGCCCAGTTCCCATGGGATAGCAGTGGTTTTGGCAGGGCTCTCTGTATTAAATGCTCACACCCAGCTGTTAAACACCACTGATTGCTCTACATTTTCAACAATAACTTGGGGCATATGTTGCTTCAGAGACTGATCCAATTAAATTTGGGCTCCTTTGAAAAAATAACTTTGGAGATGAATGTTTGAAATTTGTTCTGATCCCAGGAGGTCTCTTCTCTGCTGTTTCTTTCCAGGTTCTCCCTGTTAATTGACCCAGCCTACAGTTTAGCTTATGTTTTTAATGAACTTACCAACTATCTCTTAATTATTTTTCACTACAGTCTCCATAGTTTTTGAGAGAATCTTAGGCTTCAACGTGACTACACTGTTTTGCAAATAATGCTGGTTCCTTTTGTTGTTGTTATTGTTTTGTTAATCATTTGCTTCTCTCACTGGAAAAAATCTCTGAGCCAGAGCTCTGAATCTGAAGGTGAGACAATGATGTGCTCTGAGTAACACCTCTGCTGCAGGAGGTAAGTACTTGGTAGAGGGGCAGCAGTAATTTCAGGTCTTCTTTTCTTGCCTCTCCCAGTGTGGAACCTCCACCCTATGGGTACACAAGGGTGATCAGGGCCCTAGTATTCTCAGTAGCACCATGTCCAGGCTAAAGTCTCCATCCAATGAGGTAGGTTATCCAGAAAGGAAGTCTCACATCTGGACTACATATGCTTAGAACCCAGCCTCAAACAGGTAGCTGAGAATAAGATGAGAAATGTTGGAAGTCCTGACTCTTTCAGAAAACGTTAGTTCTCCAACTGGTAGCTGAGGGAGAGGAGCTCTGTTCCTAGCCAAACAATGAATGAATGTTTCTGTCTTACTGAGCTGGGAGAAAATGAGCCTTGGCTCAAATACCACAGACTCTCACTGTACCTACTGCAGTTTAGTTGATTTTTTTTTTGAATAAATGTTTCTTCATTTGCTGTATACTTTTAGGACCATTTCCAAGACTTTAAGTGCTTGTTTTTAAAAATGACTTTCATCATTTTCATTGGGGAGCACATCTGCAGAGCTTCTTAGGTTCTAATGCCAACATGGAACCCATAATAAGCTCATAACATTGAATCTTTCTTTTTCTTTTTTTTTTTTTTTAATAATAATTTTTATTTCTTAAAGTATTACAAATAGTATTACATATGTCTCCTTTTTCCCCCCCCTTGACATTCCCCGACC